GGAGACTCAAAGAATGTGAGCTCAGCACAGTACACTCCATACATCATAAGGTTCAGTACCTGCTCCCTCAAAAGCGGACAAACCCCCGACTGATGGGCTGGCTTGCCACACGTATTGCATAAAACAGCCACACACTCAACAATGAAATGGCCCTTATCACCACAACGATAACATAACATCCTTTCTTTCTTGCGCGCATACTTGGCCGCTCTGTCTTCTACCGACATAGACCCAATATCACCATTAGCAGGGACCACCACGTCAACCAGTGCCGTTACCACCTCCATAGCCTAGCAAGACAACTCAGGTTCCGCAGTAACCTCGCCAACAGGTGTCTGGTCCACAATAACAGGATGTTGTTGTGGACGATAGCGGCCACCACGGCCACCTCGGCCACCACGGTTACCACGGAAACCACCGCGGTTACGATGAGCCGGTCCAGACGCCCCTTCGACGAAACCGCCCGTTGGCCCCAGGAAGGGCCTCTCGGCCGAGCCATCGCTCTGCCCGGCATACCCCCGTCCACCACCCGTAGACGAGGATCCCCGGTGTTGTCCATCTCCATACGCATTATACCCATCACCACGAGGCGCCGATTGAACATCTCCACTAGCAGAAACCTGCGGCGCCTGTGCCTGCTGCAACACCGGCACTGTCGAGTTGTGCGCCTGCCTTGCCACGAAGTGCGGCGGTCTAGCCCCGGCCTGAATCGCCAACGGTCGCTGGCCCCGGTCTTGAAGATGTTTATTGCGGAAGAAGTCTGGCTTAGTCATATGTGCTATTTCATACTTCCTCCATTCTACATTATAGTGCTTCCTCTATCTCTGTGCTTTAATTTTGACCGTAAATTTAACTACCAAGACCGATTGCGGCGGGAGCAAAAGTTATATCAGTGAATTCGTATTCGAAAGAAGTTTTCAATTATACAATTTTTTCTCCCGCCGCAGTCGGTCTTATTGGTTAAATTTATGGTCAAAGTTAGACCTTAAAAAGCGCAGACGCATTATATTTTGGAATGAGGGGAGTAGTTCCTTGTAATGGCTCCACGGTGGTGGCATTTGGTTGTGCTCTGCTTAATTCGTAAGAATTGATTGTGTGCATCGTGGGTTCCAACCTCCTTTTCAAAAAAGAAAAAAAACGAAAAAAAAAACGTTTTACTCGCCGACAGCCTACAGTCGAGATTAACACAGACGACCGGCAATACAAAATGGACGTCACCGGCTGCGATTCTTTTGTCTCGTGTATGTTCCTGGCAGTTTCCAGGCAAATAGCGACGTTCGATTGGTGCTAATCTACGATAGCAGTGTATATATGGGAACATAACGAACTAGATCGACAAGGACGTACGACATCAAAAGTGAGCACCTGCAAATAGTGTCCCTCGAACTGGGTCACTGCTAGAGGCTGTGCTTGTCATGGTAATGTTCACAAATATTTTTTCCGAGAGTACCCAAATTGCTTATTATAGCTTTATAGAAGAAGAGGTAATGTTCACAAAGTTAAATGATGGGAATAGACAGGTCCCAAACTCTGACTCATGCGTGTGTGCCTACCAGACTAGCTAGATCCACATATGCGCGCCTAGCTTGTACGGCCTCAGTGGTATCCTGGTCAAGAGGAAGGCGCTTCACCATTTCTTGACCTAGGATGAAAGGTTACTCTGGGAAGAGAGCACTCATCTTGGGGTGAGCTTTCCTATGCTTTCAGCACTTAACCTCCACTCTTTTTTTTTGCGGGTGAAAAATAATTTTCATTTATCACTCGGGATCAATCTCCTTCTTACATAAGTCAGGCACCTCACCTGGTCCTGAACCCAACCATACAACCGTACGTTTCTCAATTCTATCAAAAGCAGCTAGGTAATGGCTAATGCCATTCTGCTCTCTGCGTACATGAGCCAGTTTAACTAATCTCCCGTCTCCCAGCAGTCTCCTAATCTGATCAGTAAGCATAGCATAACAAGACCGGTCCCTCTCCACTGCCTTGAGCATATTGAGCGCCATGAGGCTGTCCGTCTCCAATTCTATGGGCTGCTGCGTCCACTGCAAACCAAGGTTCAGGCCCTCCATACAGGCAAGGAGTTCAACTTCTAGAGGCTCCGCACATGACCTCAGTTCCCTACACGATGAGAAGATAATCACGCCGGAGCTATCCCTCAGGATCATTCCGGCACCAGCCGTTCCTGTCGTGGCGCAAAACGAGCCATCGACGTTGAGCTTTGTCCAACTTGCAGCCGGAGGAGTCCATCGTGGTCGCGGCCCAGTCGTACCTGTACCATGCAATATATCTTTGCTCGACACCATTGCATCAACTACCTGCTTCCCTTTTGCCGGGTCTGCACTCGGATTGTTCTGTATGCCAACGAGCGAGTCGACGTAACTAAGGAGGAACCTCTTCGATGCTTCAACCGGTGGCGGATGCTTGTGATGTGTCATCTCATTGTGTACGTGCCAGCATCGCCAATGTGTCATCATGAGCTCCATCCACTCTTGGCTAGTCATTGTTTATTTTAGGCATGATAACTGGTAACTGGTACACTAGAGGCGCGGTTCCTGCTTGTGTCATGAGAGGAAACTTTTTTGTAGTAGACCATCGGAAGGCTGCAAACGACCAGCGCATGCACTAGAACAGCAACCACTGCCGATGAAGAGAAGCCTAGATCGGAATGATCCAAACTGCAGACATATAGACATAGACGAACGACCGGAACCAAACAGATCCACCAAAGACAAACGCCGTTCGGTCCGTCGAAGACACACCTTCACACGCCCTCCGACGACGCTAGCTAAAAACATCGCCGGAACGGGGGCCAGGCGAGGAGGACCTTATTCCAACTTCAAGAACCCGCCTCCGCCTCGTCTTCCTGAGTATTGACACAAACCCTAAGAAAACTCCAAAAAACACCTAAAAACCTTTTTCCTCTATGTAGGAACCAGGAAAATACGAGTTGCATGAG